CGGGGGCAGCCATGTAAATTTAAATGAAGCGGCGATTATTTAAATCGCCGCTTCATTTTCCTATGTCTAGTAGCCTAATCTACATGCCTCTGGCGACAGAGGCATGTAGTCTAGACGTACCCCAAGAGTTCTAAACGGGAGGAAGAAGGGAAGAGATTAACTACTCCATTCAAGCACCTCTCAGAGGTATAGGAATCCCACCACGGCAGCCATGTAAATTTAAATGAAGCGGCGATTATTTAAATCGCCGCTTCATTTTCCTATGTCTAGTAGCCTAATCTACATGCCTCTGGCGACAGAGGCATGTAGTCTAGACGTACCCCAAGAGTTCTAAACGGGAGGAAGAAGGGAAGAGATTAACTACTCCATTCAAGCACCTCTCAGAGGTATAGGAATCCCACCACCACATTCACTGGAGTCTGGAAAATCAGCAATAAAAGGCCCTTCCTTTAAACTGAGGTAGTTTAGCCTCAGTGTACCCAGTTTAAGAATCCCCTGTTTGTGCTAAGTCTTGGGCAGGCAGAGCTAGCCAGGGCAGGCGACAGCAGCTGGCTCAGAGAGGTGAGCACTGTGGAGTGCTGTGAAGATAGTTAATAATACATCCCTAGCTCACAAAGCAGGGGGAGGGGAGAAGGGCAGGAAAGCTCTGGAGCTCAGTTCAGTACAGGCCTTTGAAATACAAAGGGCCAGGAAGCACTAAGGGCTGGAGCTGCCAGGAGTCGTTCTCTCCCCTTCCACCCGCCTTCATTTCAATAGCACAGTTAGAATCCATTTTTCCAACTGCAGTTTCAGTCAGCCCCTCCTCTCCCCTGGGTCTGCCCCCTGGCCTGGCCTTTCAGCCTCTCTACTCATGACTTTGTGGCCCATCGCCAAACATGGGTACAAAGCTGAGCCGGCACATCCTCAGTGCCACCCTGAGTTGGGAGCGAGAGAGAAAGAGAGGACATGGCCAAGAGAGACCACCCAGCTGAAATGGAGACAGAGAGCATGGCTCAGAGAGAGATACCCCATGGCACAGACAGAACAACAGCGACTAAGGATGTGGTTCTCAGGTGCAGATGGGCCAGCTCTGGGACCAAGAGCATGCAGTTTGGGCCTCCCCTATTCACAGAGACCAATTCAGCCCTCGGAGCAAAAATGATGCAGAGAGGGACTGAGCAATACTGACATATACTGAGGCACATTGTTCCAGTTATCAGCACTGGGCAGAGAAAGCCAAGGCACATGAACCTGCTACAAAGACACCTGCAACTGCAGCACACAGGTCCTGTCAGCTCACCTACAAAAGACCAAAAATCACCAGCTCCAAGCTCCAAAGGCAAATTAACATGTTACTGTGCAGACATCCACAGAACCCATCTGAGCAATCCGTAACTTGGCCTCACCGTCATGCAGCAGGAAGGGTTCAGCTGGCTACAGGGAGTGCTACAGACCTTTAAAATCCTCAGCTATCTTCAACCCACTGACAAAGCTACTGCTAGATCTTTATGGGTGGGGAGTCTAGAGTACAAAAATTGGTCCACATACTGCACTGAAGGGACATGAACACTGCTAAAATCACCCTGCACTCTTATATGGGCAGCATTTTCCCACCTTTTTCCAGACACTAGATGAAGCTCTAAGAAGAAAAGTATGTTGGCTACTGACAAGAGTTCATCAACTACACAAGCTGGTAGGTTGCTCTAGATCGTAAGAACGGCTATACTGGGTCAAAGGTCCATCTAGCCCAGTGTCCTGTCTGCCAACAATGGCCAATGCCAGATGCCCCAGAGGGAGTGAACACAACAAGCAATCATTGCGTGATCCCTCTCCTGTCATCCATTTCCAGACAAACAGAGGTTAAGGACACCATTCCTACCCATCCTGGCTAATAGCCATTGATGGACCTGACCTCCATGAATCTATCTAGCTCTTTTTTGAATCCTGTTAAAGTCCTAGTCTTCACAACATCCTCTGGCAAGGAGTTCCACAGGTTGACCATCCACTGTGCGAAGAAAAACTTCCTTTTTGTTTGTTTTAAACTTGCTACCTATTAATTTCATTTGGTGACCCCTAGTTCTTGTGTTATGGGAACAAGTAAATAACTTTTCCTTATTCACTTTTTCCACACCAGTCATGATTTTATAGACCTCTATCATATCCCCCTTTAGTCTCCTCTTTTCTAAACTGAAAAGTCCAGGACTTTTTAAATCTCTCTTCATATGGGACTCATTCCAAACCCCTCATCATTTTTGTTGCCCTTCTCTGAACCTTTTCCAGTGCCAATATATCTTTTTTGAGATGAGATGACCACATCTGTATGCAGCATTCAAGATGTGGGAGTACCATGGGTTTATTCTCTATCCCTTTTTTAATGATTCTTAACATTATGTTTGCTTTTTTGACTGCCAGTGCGCATTGAGAGGATGTTTTCAAAGAACTACCCACAGTGACTCCAAGATCATATTGTATGTATAGTTAGATCCCTTCACACCAGAGATCTCCTATCATCCTAAAAGGCAATGCATAAAACAGAGCTGCACTCTCGCCCAAATATTGAAACAGTGAACCCAAAACAAAAATGGAAACCAGGACACATTGCACAAGAAACCCAAGGATGGGCAATTTTGAAACCCACCGTGACAGGAGAGATAGACCCTGACCAGCACTATTTATTCCACTGCGTGAGATCCAAAGGAAGAGAAAGAGACTTTTCCAAGCAATTAGCAAAAGCGAGACTCCTTGCAGAAAAGCCAAAAAGAAAAATGGCATAACTCTGAGAGAAAGGAAAAAAAGAGTGGAAATGTCTTAATTCTACCTGGCCCCCAGGCAGCAAAACCACACTAGACCATAATAAAAAGTGAGCACCTGGTATAAAACCCAGTTACTCTTTTAAAACCCCAACCAAAGCAAAGAGACTGAAGTGCATTAACTTGGCCAACACTGGTATACTTTGCCATGCCAATAAAGTTGCTGAGAGTAAACACAGATCAGAGAGTGAACACAGCCCAGGGAGGTGTAGCGGGGAGGAGAGGAAGAAAGGTTAAGAGAGAGTTATGGATGGAAGGGTGAACAGAGCTCAGAGAGAAGTGAAAAGGAGGGAAGGAGAACTGATCTAACTTCAAGTGAGGGAGGAGTAGCAGAGGGCGTCACAGATGACAGCAGCAGGGGGAGGGATGAAGGCCAGTGAGGAAGAGTGCAGAGAAGACAGCACAGTTCAGAGACGTACAGAGAGAGGAAACAGGATTCCCCAAAACGTTAAAAATAACACAGATGCCTGAGAACCCAGTTCCCTTTCCCCAGGACATTTCTTTCT